TAAAATGCTGATGCGGTTCTCACTACATCCGTCCTACATTATAGTTCTGCTTTGTTTGTTTGTTTGTTTGTTTGTTTCTGTAGAATCGTAGATAAACACATTTTAGTTTGGATATTTCTAAGACTGAACAAACCTAGTAATATTAGCATGTCATAGCCTAACCTAACCATAACACAACCCTTCCCTACCCACTCATAACCTAAACCTACTTAATCCTATACTGTAACATAACCCTTATCTAACTTAACCTATTACTATAGTTTAACCCTCACCTAACTTAATATAATCTATCATAAGTCCCATAACCAAATCTTGCCTACCATTATCTAACCCAATCAAGCACCTGTGTTCGCTCTTAAATGCTGTACTTACTCTCTATATGTACTTCTTTACATTTCATGATATAACTTCCTTTCTTCGCACTTAATCACCATACATCTCTAACAAACTTGTAACCGCTTTTCCTACCTGACGTTCTCTCATGTTTTTCAGTTTTAATATTAATAATATTCTATCAGCCAACAAGAATATGATATAGTTAGTATGCTGAGCCTTCGGTATGCAAGGAGGCAGCATGGCTGGCACTGAACTCGACCACCTTCATATCCCCAACAGTAAAGTTGGATACCAATTTATAGCGGGTGAGCTGAGAGTGACCCATAGGACAAGAAACGAGTGTTCTATCCACTCGGTCGCCACACACACAGGAAGCTGGTACTGTACAAACACAAGTTTAAGGCAGCTCATCACCTCTTGATGACACTACAGTTTTCTTGAACACTCAGAGGTAACACAAAACATGTCCGCCTAGTAAGTTACACAAAGTAGAAAGTTAATTTTGCATGCAAATTTTTATGTAAAAATGAGGATTATAGCAAGTTATTCTAGTTTACAGTGCACAGTTGCAGCTACCTAACGAGAGACTGCATGTATTCAACATACCTGTGAGCGTTGTGGTATAGCAGCAGCACCAATTCCTTGACACACTAGCGAGGTCCACCACCTTTTCAGCACACAGGCAGGGGAGACATCCTCTTGTATCTTCAAGTAATAATTCTCCTGCAGGTGTTCCCACTGTGGTGCTGCAGTGTGGGGCGAGAGGCAGCCTACCTTGGTACAAATGGACTGTGGTGAGAATTTACACTAGTTCTGGTTCTTGGGTTTTGACTGAACTTGCAAATATAAAAGAATTCTCAGAGGAAATGTGGAGGATGAACAGGAAGAAGTGTTCAATATTTTACAGTAGGTTTAACAAATGTGCAAAACGTAGACCTCAAGAGTCCACTGTTCTCGAAGAGCTGGCGACGTAAAACACTTGACATAAATCAAAATGACGCGAAGACTCCAGTCGGCGAGTGTCTCCAGCGCTTATTATAATGAGTACATCATAAAACACAAGTATGAAACGTTCACAGATTATACAAAGGTTCTACGAAGTTTGTGTTAGTTGTAGTTACTTTTTTCATGGGAGAAGTTACACAATATATAACAACTTCTACTGATCCACAAAGTACTCATAAGTGTTGTCTATCGTTCTCTCAAGAGACCCACTCTCACAAAATCCCAAACTATTCACTCTTATCGCTGTAGTTAACAACCATGAGTGTGGATGAACGTTAACACAACTCTGCAGAGACCACCCTCGCCCGCACACCTTGGAATTCCTGCCAATACTTCTCTAATTTCCGTTCCTTCATGATGATCGTCTGTGAGGACACCAATATGTCGTTCAGTGCTGCAACTGTCTCTCCACGGTGAGCTAGACAACACGTTGACCAGGGTGTAAGGGAGCTGTTGGAATGAACGTGGGAGTAAAGAAATAAGCGTCGGTCTACAGTCTCCCTGCATGGAACGTGACACCCTAGTACGCAGCCAGTCAGCGCATGGTATACACCGCATGGATTGAGTCATGCAAATAATAGAGATCACCTTCAGCACTTCGATTATTTTCTCTTTATTAATCGATATAATTATACGATTATATGATATATTATTTAGCGGTGTTCTCTCCTTGCTTGAACTATGTAGAAATAAACGACTGCAGGCACTGTACTGTCAATCTTACGAATGATCGCAACTAAAATTGTCCGATAATACTTGTTATTCGTTGTTTATAAATAGTTATACAATAACGTATCCTAATACAGTATATTAACTAAAATTAAATTGTTCATTAAAACTTAGCGACACAGTAAATGAGTTAGCCGGCGTGCAATAGCCTGTGGATTGTGTTTACGTTGGGTTGCTATGGTGACACACTACCTCCCTCCCTCCAGCCCCTCACCACGAGCAATCCAACCCCCAAACACAAGGCCTCCACCTACTGTACACCCTTCCCCCTATCCATCACTCCCAACATAGATAATGGCGATTCAATCTTCTCCCTCTATTGTCTCCCAATATTTTTTTTATCAAACCTCCCTTCCTAGCTGAAAAAATACAGTGCAATATAATATACATACAGTGTGTACGAGTATGTCTGCCTCGCATGCGTTCCAGAATTTGAAAGTGTGTCTGACCTTACTCAGTATGTATGTGCCTGTTCTAATGTACGTCCATGTGCTTTCGTGTGTAGTGTACACACGTGTTTTAGTGGTGTATGTGTTGCCGTGTGCGTACGCGCCTTCTCGTATTGAGACACGTGCTCTGGTGTGTGTGTGTGTGTGTGTGTGTGTGTGTGTGTGTGTGTGTGTGTGTGTGTGTGTGTGTGTGTGTGTGTGTGTGTGTCGGGTTTATGTGTGTGTGTGTGTGTGTGTGTGTGTGTCGGGTTTATGTGTGTGTGTCCGGGTTTATGTGTGTGTGTGTCAGGTTTATGTGTGTGTGTGTGTGTGTGTGTGTGTGTCTTGGGTACGCAATATACCTGCCGTGTTGTGTTGTTGTATTGATGTACAGTCACCTCACTCCATTACCCTCTGGTGACCCCCACAGTGTGACCTGCTGGCGGACCTTGAGCTCACCTTGGTGGGAGCTGTGACACAGGAGGGAAGTCCCCGGCAGCAGAAGGCTACACCACCCCCCTTGGTAGATCCTTCGTACATTTACAGGGCCTGAGAGTGACGTGTGGATCAGCCCCTACTGTCACTGCGGGGTTGTTATGTCGTCACCACGTGTCACCTACTATAACACCTTATCCCCTCGCCACACAGATCAACTACATTACAGGTAAACCAAATGTGAGGTGCATTAAGTCTGAAAGGAACACAGCTTCAAGTGAACCACGTTACACATGAACCGAATTTGAGGTGAATTGAGTATCAGGTGAGGAGAATCTCAGGTGAACAAGGCTGGCTAATAACAGGTTCCATCACAACATCCAACAAGATTTAACCGAGGAAAAAAAATCACGTTTAATATCCCTGAATTTTGTATGTAAATATTGCTACTCGTTGTCTTAGCCTTGTCTTCTTGCTCTTCCTTCCCACGCCTTCCCGTTAACTGAGGTTGCAATAGCTATACCCTCTTGTGGGGTATTGTGGTAGTGTGGTAATGTGGTAGTGTGGTGGTATAGCATGTGGTAGAATAGCAGTGTGATAGTGTGGTGGTATAGCATGTGGTAATATGGTAGTGTGGTAGAGTTGCAGTGTGTGACAGTGTGGTTATGTAATGGTGTGGTAGCGTGGTGGTGTAGCAGTATAGGGAGTAGCTGTCCAATGCCCCACTTGACGTTACCTAAAGAGTCACCCGGACACCAAAGGGGCTGACACACCTGGACCTGCTACATACAGCAACTTAAATGAGTACCTGTCTGACGGGACCTGAGCCATAATCCCAGGTAATGTGCATACGTCACTGTTCATTAACGAGAGATTACAATAACATGACTAACTAATAAGGGAGGCGGTGGCTGAGTGGGTAGTTATAGCCTTCCCCCCTGTCTTGTAGAGGTCGATGGTTCTAGTTCCGGTACACTCCGCAGTCGACCCAAGTGTGAGTGGGTACCTCTTCCTAACTAGCCACTCACCTATCCCTTACTCACCACCCAACACCCACCTATCCCCCACTCACCACCCACCTATCCCCCACTCACCACCCACCTATCCCCCACTCACCACCCACCTATCCCCTTTCACCACCCAACACCCACCTATCCCCCCTCACCACCCAACACCTACCTATCCCCCCCTCACCACCAACACCCACCTATCCACCACTCACCACCCAACACCCACCTATCCCCCACTCACCACCCAACACCCACCTATCCCCCACTCACCACCCAACACCCACCTAGCCAGAACAGGAGATAAGGTGATGGTGAAAAGGGAGATGTATATAGTACATGTTTTTGTGAGGCGAGTCTCCCTAGGGCACCTCCTGGGTCCTGTGCTGTTTGCTGCTTACCTCTACCTCTAGGCTGTACCTCTAACCTCTACCTCTAACTCCAGCCTCTACCTCTATCAGTAACTCTAACCTTTACCTCTTGACTATCTTTAACCTGTACCTCGATCTCTAACCTCTAACTCTGGCCTTTAACTGTACCCTTATCTCTAACTCTAACCTCTAATTCTAGCCTCTAAGTCTATGCCTCTAACCTCTACTTGTCAACTTGATCTGTAACTTTAGATCTTCACCGACTGTACCCTCTAACTCTATCTCTAACCTGTTTTTAATATCACCTGTACCTGTAAGTTACCTGTACCTCTAAGATCATCTGTACCTGTAAGTTACCTGTACCTACTAAGATCATCTGTACCTGTAAGTTACCTGTACCTACTAAGATCATCTGTACCTGTAAGTTACCTGTACCTACTAAGATCACTACCTGTTGCTCTCCCATCTCTCTCCTCTCCCTTTATTCAGTCTTCTCTCACCTCCCCCTCCTCCTCTTCTTCTGTTCTCTCCTCTCCTCTCCTCTCCCTCTTCCACCATTTTCCCCCTCGCTCCTCCACTCAGGTGTGTGGAGGAGGCGAGGGGAGGAGGGAGTGAGGGAGGGAGAGATGGGGGGTGTGGCAAGAAGGCCTGGCTGGTCAAATGTGGGGAACCAGCATTCGGCGCCCAGACACTCGCAGTGAGGGACGTTCGCTGCAGTCTCTCCCGCGCCCCCGATCACCGCAACACACACACACACACACACGCAAGCACGCAAAATCCTAAAAAATAATTAAGTCCTTGCGTTAGACCTGCGACGGGATCATTAGCTGAGTTCTCAACGTCTTGGTCTCCGTCTCACGCAAAAACTCACGCAATTCTTCACACAACCCATCATCCAGGGTCTCTCTCCCCCGCGTGAGATATCCCTGGATCACCCCCACCCCAATCATATAAGACAAAATATATTCAACTACTCGTCCCCCCAAAAAATATCAGAACTTCTCCCCCCACCCCCTTGCACGAGGCGCCGGTATAGTGAGCGAGATCATCTGTTTCGTCTCCACCAAGACCGTAGAATATTCCTGCAGTCTGTCGCAAAACAACACAGGACGTCCTCCTCAATATTGATAATTTCCGTGAACGTCAACATCACTTCGGCAGTTCCATCCCCAAGACCTCAAATTCACAGTAACCCGGATCCTCACAGCATCTAAGAGCTTCCTCGCACTCACGTCAAAAAGTAATTACACACACAGGAACGTCTCCCGCATAAAAACAAACCAACCAGAACACTCACTACCTGCCGGCAAGTTGATCACCTCGACGACTGTGGTAAGTACTGCCTTATTTCTCATGGATAATGAAGTCACTTGTGTTTACAGAGATTGATATTATATTTAGATGTATTTATATGAGAAAAGGGTAAATTATACAAGTCCGGTGATTGGTTAAAGGGGCTCCAGTCCTAAATGACCCCAACATAATCTAACCATCCCTAAATCTGTAGGGCCCCTAATCTAATGGTCAGGGTAGGATGAAGCCTAATAGGACTGAGGCCTATTTGACAGTAATGTACATGTAGTGACTATATGATGCAGGTGGTTCTTAAAAGGATGAGATACGTGTCTAAAACTTACCGTATTATTGTAGTACCTGTAGTGTGTGTGTGTGCGGCTTACTCCATCCTGTGAAGAGAGATTGTGTTAATAACGTGGTGAAAAGAAATTATTTATTATTATTATTATTATTTTTATTATTATTATTATTATTATTAATAGCGTATCATGTATGAGTATTACCTCTACTTCTGCTAATTATACTACATAATCTATTATAGTAGTCTTCTGTTAATATCGGTACTATATTATTGAAAAAAAAACAATCTATTACAACTCAGATTCACAGTTTATAAAAAGTATTTTTTCTTTCTATTTTTGTTGTCTATCTATCTATCTCATCCTCCACTTAGCAATTCTCACCCTCCTCCTAGCAACTCTCACCCTCCTCCTAGCAACTCTCACCCTCCTCCTAGCAATTTTCACCCTCCTCCTAGCAACTCTCACCCTCCTCCTAGCAACTCTCACCCTCCTCCTAGCAACTCTCATAGGTAAAGGTCACAGCAAAAGGTCATAGGATAATACCACAGGTCATAGGGTAAGGCCACAAGAAGTCAAGGTCAGAGGAGGTCAAGGTCACCAGAGTTCACACAAAGTCAAGGTCATAGGTCACAGCAAAATATCATAGGGAAAGGTCACAAAGGTCATAGGTCAAGGAGATGGAGGTGTTTGTGGAGTCTAATAATGTCAAGCCCCGGGAAATGCCTCGAGACTATTATTACATCAGAGGAGAAATTAGCAGAGTTAGAAACTGGTTAGAGAGAGAGAGAGAGAGAGAGAGAGAGAGAGAGAGAGAGAGAGAGAGAGAGAGAGAGAGTCACACCTCACTAAACGCACACACACGTCTCTCTTTAGTAAACATGTAATCAAGTCTTTAAGGGTTTGTTTACATGTACAATGACAAGGAATAAACAAAAACAACAATAGAGACATTATAGCCTTCAGACAGAACCCGTCGAGGAGTCGTGTTAATATGCAATTATAGATTATCACGAACGCTTATTTTGATTGCTGGGGGAAGGGTGAGAGGGGTGGAGGGTTGGGTGAGAGGGTGAGGAGTGGGTTGATGGGTGGAGAGGTGAGGGATGGAAGACTGGGAGGAGGGGTGAGGGGATAGAGGGTGCAGGAAGGATATAGGTTCCAGGGGTACACTAAGCAAAGCCGGTAGCGTCACAAGAGCCCAGTCAGGAAACACAGGTATTTGAGTGACCATTGTAGATAGAAAAAATGATCGGAATTGATTTCGTCTTCAATATGTATAGGTAAAACTATCTTACATCTTAGCCATTGGGGTAAAATATCCGGTTAGGCCACATTACTCATTAACATATTCTTGGCAACATGAATTAAGACTCACTGTTTAATGAATTGGTCATATGAGTGGTGGTGGTCTGTCCTGTCCACCACGAGAGGGGCAGGAGGTCCAGTGAACTCGACCGAACACCAAAATGTATCAGTGATCTCAAGACCCAACAACGCCATACTACTACTACTACTACTACTATTATATTTTTTGCTACTACTACTAATAATAATAATAATAATAGCAAAACTTAATAGCCTGACTTACATTACTATTTCATTATTTAATTACCTGAAGAGATTTTATTTACTTAGATACAAAAATACATTTGTATATTATTGTTTGATTCAGCCACATACAGGTAACTACAACAAGGTCTTTATTTAATGATTAGTTAATAAACAGTAAAAACCATCACGGATTAGTATTAAAAAACAGATCTGTACAACAATAGATCGTTGTTGTATTTTCCTTACGGGTTAAATTCGAAGTTGTATGATATTGTCTGAAATAAGAGACAAAATGATATCTAATATTTCTATAATAGTTTGAAGGTAAAGGAACATACTGGAAACAATCATGAAATTATCTATCTATCTATCTATCTATCTATCTCTCAAAACACACCTCACCCCCGTCTCACCTTCCACACCTATACACTGTTAAGGATTCAATCTCGATTCATCCCCTGAACCACGCTGATTAATGTACACACTGATGGCCAGTATCCAGAAAAAGTGACGTACGGATTAATTGAGTAATCTGTCGAGTTTATCATCTTACGATTTTACTCTAATACCATATACAGGGGGGGGGGGGAACCCAGTTGAACTTAGACTCCAAGTATTTAATAAGGATCGTTTGCTACACCGACTGGGGTCATAGGAGAGATGATTAAGGGATCCAGTAGTTATCATTGGTTCTCGTTAGTTTATGAAATATTGCCTCATGTTGGAAGCAGGTCCCATAGGCTCTTGGACCTGTTTGGGGGCAGTGTGGATGTAGTACACTGTAACCTAAGCCTTCGGTTTATAGTTAGGCAGCGTGACTAGTATACTGCCCCTCTACTGCCTTCTCTTCCCTCAACTGTTTGGTATTCACTTGCGCCCTTAGGGTCAAGAGCCGAATGAAAAATAAACAAAAAACAGTAAAATTATGTAAATGCATCGCCAAAAACAAGACACCAAGCGATGCTATTCTATTCGGGAAGACAGCCAAAAAGATTTACTGTATTGGAGGAGTGTTACCGCCCAGGACCTCGTGTGGGCCGCCTTCGTCGTGACCGATAAACACGCGGTAATTTCTCTTCCCTCCCTCAAATATTAGGAATTTTGATAAACTGTGCAATGATTACTAACACATAACTCATCTGGCCTCTTGAAATAAACAACAATTATCCAGTAAGGTTTTAGTAGAGAATACAAAGTAGCCAATGAAGAGCCACTTACTTTAACTCGCCCATGATATCACGCGCGGTATAAGGCAGCTGTGGCGAGATTCTTAACTTATCGAACAACGAATTTCTCCCTTATGTATAAAAAAAGCTATTTGGATAAGGGAGATCTTTGACGCAATTTTATAGATGCTGGATCCTTATGGGCCAAACGATGCATTTCTTCCCTTAGGTATAAAGTAACTTCCTCTAGATATCATATACGGGAGATCCTTGAAGCAATTTTGAGGATGTTTTCCCTGCCAACAACCTTAATTGCGAGTCTGTTCGTTGCGTCCATCACAGCTGCAGTTTCATCCAGTAATCATGAGTGTGTGGCTCTAAGAATACTAATTTAGTGGCTACATAAGGGTCTGAGTCCGGCTATCAATTTATTTTTGTTCGCGTAGTTGGGCTTACCATAGTCACTACTGTATACAATATAAATAAGTCTTCCCACACATGACCCCGACTTAATCACAATACGCATGCGCAGTAGACATCAAAGAAACGCCACAAAAAAAAAAAATGAAAAAAAAAATAATAATAGTAATAAAAATAATTGATATCTAGTCAATATGAACAAGGATGACCAACAAACAGTCCAATTTAAGCTAACCTACGATTGTTGAGTTAATTATTGTTGACGTCTGCAGGTAGAGTGAGGTGTGTGCGTGTGTCCGGCCCCAGCCAGACTAAACACGGGGTCGGGTGTGTGTTAGTGACGGTGTGTACAATATTTTATCCGTCATTATCTTAAACAAAGGTTGCTTGATAAGACTAATAAATTGAACAGAAATAGAGACAGATAATAGATAAAAGAACATAAACACAAAACCATTAACCGGGAGGGACAGTGTCATCATTATCTTTGCTTGATATGATTAATAAATTATACGGAATAGACAAATAATTGATGAAAATAGATATAATGATAATTACAGCTTCAGGCTCTTGAAAGTTAGCTGGAATTAAATTTAAGTTTGTGTTCTCAAGTTGTAAGGAAGATTAGAATAAACTTAGACGGTTTATTTATTTCTCACATAAAGAATAAATCAGAATACATCTACACGTATCATATAGTTAGCACACAAGGAGGCAGCGTGGTTGGCACTGTACTCGATCGCCAACATTTCCCCAACAGTAAAGTCAGGTACCCATGTAAAGTTGAAGGCTCAAACCAGTGACCCTTGGGATAGGAGATGAACATTATAACCACTCGGCCACCGCAACTCTAAGACAGACTATTGAGACTAAATTAATAAGAGGCTCCATAATGGGTGGCGTAGATTCAAACCTTAATAAATCAAGTGTGTATTATAGCTCAAAAGTGTATTATAATAACTCAAAAGCTTCAACATACAAAAGCATAATAGCCATTGATTTATTAAGCTATTTTTGATTGACTCCCATTGATAGTGAACACCTGCGAGTACTTAAACATCACCATTACACAACAAGAGGCTGCCCTATAAACATCACCATTACACAACAAGAGGCTGCCCTATAAACATCACCATTACACAACAAGAGGCTGCCCTATAAACATCACCATTACACAACAAGAGGCTGCCCTATAAACATCACCATTACACAAGAGGCTGCTCTATAAACATCACCATTACACAAGAGGCTGCTCTATAAACATCACCATTACACAACAAGAGGCTGCCCTATAAACATCACCATTACACAACAGAGGCTGCCCTATAAACATCGCCGTTACACAAGAGGTTGCCCTATAAACATCACCATTACACAAGAGGCTGCCTATAAACATCACATTACACAACAAGCGCCTAAACATTACCATTACAAGGCTGCCCTATAAACATACCATTACAGAGGCTGCCTATAAACATCACCATTACACAACAAGAGGCTGCCCTATAAACATCACCATTACACAACAAGAGGCTGCCCTATAAACATCACCTTACACAAGAGGCTGCCCTATAAACATCACCATTACACAACAAGA